GTACTTTTTTTAATTCTCTAACAAAAAATACATTTATTTTTTAATTTCATCAATTAAAAAACCATAAATTTTATTGAAATATTTCAATCTGGGTTTTTTATTATTATCTAAAGCAGCATATTTTATATTTACAATGAATAGACTTTTTAATCATTTTCGTGTAACGCAAAAATTTTGTCAGTTTCACTATCGCCAGTTTGCAAAATGAAATAAAATTTTGTTTTCGTATTAATTTGTGGATTGTAGATTAAATCTCTAATAACAGTACAAGCAATTATTAATTATTACACATCTTGTACAGTGTGGCGCCCTTAAGATGAAAGACTTCTGTAAAATGCATATTTTTCAAAACGTAAAAAACGTGAATCCAAATTGCATACGTCAACATTCATTTTTATCCTATGATTTTTTCAATATCAAAAATATCAAATAACAAATGTTCATTTGAGATTAACAACCCTTTTAAATATCAAAACCTAGAAATTTCATTAATAAATACTTATTAACAACATACATTTTGGAATTCCTCCATATCACTGACAATACAATGTGATAAAGATTGTGTGGCCACAGTGCGAACGGTTTTATGATGAAAAATTTTGAACAACGAATTCGTCACCGGAAGATATTGTTACACACCCTGTATGAAAAGTTTTCGTTAAAAAAATGCGCAACTAAAAATACAAATCGACGTGTCCGAGCGTTTTTCCGAACACGCTCCCATTTATTCATTACCGAATTTATTCCATTTGGCTATTCCACACTGTATATTTTTTAACAAAGAATATGATTCACGAATTTGTACCTGTTTTGGATTATCTTTAAAAACTCTAAAAACGCTAAAAACCAATATTCAGCTGTGAAATTTATTTATAAAGTTTGAAAGTAAATTGTTCTAGTATTTGTTGGACAAAATGTAAAACGAAATCTTAATTTTTTCAAAGTTTACGCTGGATAAGCAACAACAAGCTCATCTGAAATTAGAACACGTGCGAACTATAACTAAAAATGCGATACTCTTTTGTCAGAGGACTTGGGGAACTTCTATCATTTTAGAAGGTTTTGCACAGCCTTTAAAAATAGTGTACATAATTAAAAATTAATAAAAATTAATAAAAATTAATAAAAATTAATAAAAATTAATAAAAATTAATAAAAATTAATAAAAATTAATAAAAATTAATAAAAATTAATAAAAATTAATAAAAATTAATAAAAATTAATAAAAATTAATAAAAATTAATAAAAATTAATAAAAATTAATAAAAATTAATAAAAATTAATAAAAATTAATAAAAATTAATAAAAATTAATAAAAATTAATAAAAATTAATAAAAATTAATAAAAATTAATAAAAATTAATAAAAATTAATAAAAATTAATAAAAATTAATAAAAATTAATAAAAATTAATAAAAATTAATAAAAATTAATAAAAATTAATAAAAATTAATAAAAATTAATAAAAATTAATAAAAATTAATAAAAATTAATAAAAATTAATAAAAATTAATAAAAATTAATAAAAATTAATAAAAATTAATAAAAATTAATAAAAATTAATAAAAATTAATAAAAATTAATAAAAATTAATAAAAATTAATAAAAATTAATAAAAATTAATAAAAATTAATAAAAATTAATAAAAATTAATAAAAATTAATAAAAATTAATAAAAATTAATAAAAATTAATAAAAATTAATAAAAATTAATAAAAATTAATAAAAATTAATAAAAATTAATAAAAATTAATAAAAATTAATAAAAATTAATAAAAATTAATAAAAATTAATAAAAATTAATAAAAATTAATAAAAATTAATAAAAATTAATAAAAATTAATAAAAATTAATAAAAATTAATAAAAATTAATAAAAATTAATAAAAATACACACAGACGACCACACGAACATTTTTTTTGTATTTTCGGACTCGGAATGATCGGAAACGTGAAAAGAAGTTTTAAAAAATGGGGGTAAGAAAATGTTTTCGTCTGCACGAATTCAATACTGAAGCCCCATAGAAAAGGCCTCAGTAATAATGCTGTTTTAGAAAACAAAAGCAGTCAAAATGGAGAAAATAGGGCGTTGAAGACCATCTTTCCATCCAATGACGTACTGCCAAAAAAGATCGATCCATTTGCAGCTCATTACTTCGGCTCATTAAAATGTCCACAACTTTCCAAAAAATCAGAAAATAAACCACCCAAAGAAAATCTGCCTAGCACCATTTCGTCTGAGGCTTGGAGAAAGTTAATTCATCAAAAAGAAGAAAAGAAAATAGAAAAAGCAAGATTGAGAAAAGAGCAGAGAGAAACTAAAATTAAAAAAGAAACTAAACGGAAAATTAAAAAAAGAAGAATACCAGAAATATCAAAGATTAACCTTTAGAAATTGATAAAAATATTGAAGGATTGTTAAAGGAAAAATGCGGCCTATGTGAGGAGGACGAGAAAAATATAGGATGCGACTTTTGTCCTAAATGGTACCACTTAAAATGCACGGAACTGTGTGATTTACCTTATGAAATAGCGTCCTCCAAGGATTATAAATGCGATCTATATAAATAACATTTTTAAACAAAAATAGTATATTACATTACGAGTGTGGAAAGTGACATTTTTCACACGAGTGGGAAATATTGTCGCACGAGGCGTAAGCCGAGTGCGACTATCACACGAGTGTGGAAAATCACTTTTCACACAAGTGATGTACAATATTTTTCCTACGACCACAAAATAATTTCATCAAAAAATGTAAAACCAGATTATTATAATAATTAAAATGTATTTAAAAAAATAATCAACAATAATCGTATTTATTAAATTTTCATAATTTCTAAACAAATAAAAAAAAATAAAAAAAAAATAAAAAAAAAATTTTGGCACAGCCAGGATTCGATCGCGGTCGTTGGACGGTCTCAAATTGCAAAGTTGATGCTCTAACCAACTGAGCTAACAGGCCTTACGGTAATTGATTGATCTAATCGCTTATGTGTTTAACCAGAATAAAAAGCAAATATATCTTAGTTATTTCAAAATTATTTTAAAAATAATTGTTAAAGATAAATATCTAGGATCTAATTTACAATAATTTAACAATCATATCGATTTTAGTATTAATATGGACATTACATAGATCAAAATAGAAATTATGTGTTTGACATTTTCTGACAGCTACTGCGGAAAGTAGCATATTCTCACTTGGGTGGAAAGTAAATTCTTATTCATACGCGTGTGATATAGGGCACTTTCCTTAGGTCTATATAGTGTGATATGTGTCACTTTCCTAAGTGGTCGTAGGAAAAAACTTTTTCCTACAACCACTTAGAAAAGTGACACATATCACACTATATAGTCCTATGGAAAGTGCCCTATATCACACGCGTATGAATAAGAATTTACTTTCCACCCGAGTGAGAATATGTTACTTTCCGCAGTAGTTGTCACAAAATGTCAAACACCTAATTTCTATTTTGATCTATGTAATGTCCATATTAATACTAAAATCGATATGATTGTTAAATTATTGAAATTAGAAATTAGATAAAATTAGATCCTAGATATTTATCTTCAACAATTATTATTAAAATAATTTTAAAATAATGTTTGCTCTTTATTCTGGTTAAATACATAACCGATTAGATCATTCAATTGACACAAGGGCTATTAGCCCAGGTGGTTAGGACGTCGAAATTATCAACTTTGCCATTTTTCGACGGCGTTCAAATCCTGGCGGGGCAGAATTTTTTTTTTATTTTTTTTTATTTTTTTTTTTAGTTTCTTTTTTGTTTATAAAATATGAAAATTGAATAAATACGATTATTGTTGATTATTTTTTTAATTACTTTTTAATTATTATAGTAATAATAACCTTGGTTTTACATTTTTTTGATGACATTATTTTGTGGTCGTAGGAAAAATATTGTACATGACTTGTGTGAAAAGTGATTTTCCACACTCGGCTTGCGTCTCGTGCAACAATATTTCCCACTCGTGTGATTTATTTACCTATTTCCTTAAAACTATGCTGACTCGAACTGGTTGATTTCTGGGTTGTTTAAGTGCTGGCCGGTGATGGGCATATGAGGGCCGAAAATAGTAAATAAACCATTTTTATTTTTAGCCTAAATATTTATTAAAAGCCTTTTTTGTATCAATTTATAAAAAATGCTGGTAAATAATGAATCTTTAAACTTAATTTTAATGGTATGGAAGAAGAAAAATATTTAAAATTGATAAGTGAGGAATAACTTTTGAGTAAAAACAGTGCAATCACCCTAACTATTGACGTTGTTTTATATACCCAGCACCCCCTATTCACTACCTTTCCCGTAAAATTGATAAAATGAAATCGAAAAAAATGGCATATTTTTCTTTAAAAAAAATATTTGTGTCCTTATTATTCAATTGCACAAGATATGGAACTTAGGTTTTTTGTTTAGAATAGCAATACCTACAAGTGTCTATGCTTAGTTTTTGCTTAATCGAAAAGAGCTCAAACTATACATTTTAGTCACAGTGTTTATTTTCTATTTACGAATGTTAATGCTAATAATTTTTGTTTTAAAAACATTATATTAGGTACGTACATTAGCAAAAAATACTCATTATAATATGAAATAAATCTCTTGTAGACATTTGGCAAGGAAGTTTTAAAACACATCATGATTAATATAAGTTGCGAGAAAGTTTAAGAAACATTTTATAATGTATTAATTTCTATTTAAGGATGTGAATTGTTAAAAACGGGTCAATTAAAATTTAATCCATTAATTGAAGTTTAATTTATTTAATTGCTATTTGTAAAACTATCCACACACTCGGAGTCAAAAATTGGACTAGATAACCTAAAATCTCACGAGTTATTTCCGGTAACACGCTTTTTTACGATTTGGCACAAACTCCACAATACATAGGTAAAAAGTGCTTATTACCACATGCCACAATATTTCTCTCAGTCTGCCCTATAATAATCGAGAAATAAAGATAGTGACTTACCTTCCAGATGCCAGAAGTAAATTCTTTTTAAAAACTTTCTTGTAATACACTAATTTTTATAAAACCGTACGCGTTATTGCCAGTTTTAAATAGGTCTGGACCTCCTTTCAAGCCATAAATAAAAGAGCGTCAATAAGTTCGTCAATTGTCACTGAACAAAACAAATATATGAATCACATCTTGAGAGGCACATATGTGGACTTAATGAAGGGTTTTCAGTTAGTGTTATGCATTTCTTAATTATTTTGTGTGCCCGGTTGTCTCTGGATTTCAGGATTGATGCGTGTACGTCACTGAGCAGGAACAGTGGGGGGAATTAGCTCAGCTTAGTGGGCTTAAAATAAGTCCCGCGATCTCCGAACTGTTTCGTATGGTATAATGTTTACTGTTTTGATCTTGTGTATAGGATTTGGTTATTTTTTATTTTCACATCACATGTAAAATACTTCCTGTATGTAATACGTTTAGGTTCGACTTGGGTATTTTTGAAATTATGAAGGGTGCGACATACATTTAAATAGAGCAATTTGTAGGATCTGAAAATTAAAATTGAAGTCGCAAAAATATTGTACATGTACATTCAATTTTAGTTTAATTAATAAACAGTGGCGTACAGTGCAGGCAGGACACAAAATAGTCATTTTCTTGAAAGATATTTCCATAAAAAGAGATACCTACACTGATAAAAAACTTTATTTTCGAACAAAGAAGAAGATACCCTCAAACTGAATATTGAAATTAAACAATAATTGACATCTTTAAAAAACAAGCTTTACGGAAAAGAATAGAAGGGCCACAGGGGTTGTTTCTATTTTTCCGACTAGAACTCAAAAAAAATCGATTTTTTGACTTACAACTAGATTATTCCAACTTGTAATTTTTTTAAATGATCTTTCCTTAAATTTCAACATTTGAAACACAATCCTGATCCAATAATTATAAAAAACAACCATGAATAGAAAAGCCCACATGAGATTTTGCTAATGAGTGTGCTACTCAAAAGTAACTTACAAATATTCTTGAATCATTCAGTCTCACTTCCCATACAGCACATTTCAGAAATATTTCAAAAATATTACATTGAAACATTATTTTATAAAATATAAAGGTGAATCGCTTCATTTCCACAAATTCCTTTAAATGCACTAATCTCAAACAAATAGTTTTTGTTTAATAAATGCCCCAACTAAAGAAACATTTACGATTATTACAATCTGATCATTAATATCAATTAAGCCTTGGTTTCTTTGAACACTTCGTCGCGGTGAGCGGACAGTCCGTCAACCGTCGCATTTTGACGATTTTATCCAACCAGAGTATTTAAATGGGAATGGTTTTCTTGAATCCGCTTAGCTGAGCAGGACGGCGTCATGCCGTCGATTTGTCGCGAAGAGTCGGTTGATATCTGTTGAGTTTGATAGCAGCGGAATCGTCGGCGTGTGCGGAGACTATATTGTTATTAATTTTAAAACAATGAGTGACAAATTCACACATACAGATGACATCATGACTTTATTTTTAGGTTTCTTGGAAATTATGTCCTTTATAAAACTCAACACGAATTCAAAAGATCTGTAGAAAGTCTAAAATACTCCCTAAATTTGGTTTCATTTCCAAAAAGCCTCCGCTGCACAGTGATATTAAAGGCGCCTTCTGTACCGCGACACAAAAACAACTCATCAACTGGCTTATTGGAAACTTTGACGGTTGCAATTGCCAGTTCCTCTTGTTCTTCCTCTTCCAACAATAATAACAACGCAAACAATTTATTTGCATCCATTTTAGTACCTTTCGTTTACATTCATAATACATAAACAGCACGGACATAGAGAAAGTATCATTTTCTATATTTTTTAACAAACCACCTCGGGCAAAAATTGCTGTCCTCAGCGGTCGACGGACTGTTCGCTCACCGCGACGGAGTGTTCAAAGAAACCAAGGCTTTAGCAATTTTATTCTAATCTAACTTATCAAGGGATGAAAAACGTTATAAACTAATATTCTACTCACTAGTATACCTTAGAGTCTAATTATTTAGTTACACTACCGTTAACGTATAACACTTAACCGCACTATGCTCTGCTTTAACATCACTGAACTAACTCAAGAGGCTTGATTATCTTGAGTCTTCTTATTAGATTGATATTGGAGCTGGATAATCTCAAGGTTTCCATGTTGGAGCAGTCGTTGTTGGTGATTACTGGCAAATTATTGTATTGTATTTTCAACAGTCTCCACTTTAAGGTGCCTATAAAGATCAGTATTGTTGTAGTATCAGGGTGCATCGACGATGTTCCTTAATACTTTGTTCTGGAAACGTTGAATAGATTCGATGTTACTTTTACTGGCATAGCCCCAAAGCTGGCAAATCGCTTCATTTTCACCAATTCCTTTAAATGCACTAATCTGAAACAAATTATAGGTAATTAAAAGGGTCTATTAATATTGTTTTAAATTAACTATAATAAAACAAACAATACTCATGCCTACACAAATCATGAAGCTCCACTTTTCAATCAGCTGTAGAACTAATAAATAGAACTGGTGTAGGGACAGCAAATGTAGATTATATTTAAATAGAAATAAGAATATAAAATGCCTATAAATTTGATAAAAGAAATGGCGTCACTAGTCTCAGAGAAGTTAATAAACCTATCTTAAAGCATTTTAATACTCGCCTCAATTTCATAGACATATTCTGCCTATTCTGCTTCCCATATAACAACAGAACAACGCATAAATAATAAAAAATCTGATTTGTCCAACACATGACTTTCTTATCTAGTTATTACAAGCTTTTTTCGGTTATTTTCTACAACCTATTGTAGCACCTCTGTAAATATTTAGAAGTTAACTTAATATATACATTTTCCACATACATCTAACTCGAAACATTTTTCTATATACACTCATTGCCAACGAAAATGTTGCACAATTTAAATTTTCTACTTTTCCTCCAATTTTTCCATTACGGTCCATTTTAGAGAAATCATGTAAAAAAACAAAAATTATAGAGATCGATATCGCAAACAACAAGCTTCTTAAAAATCAGAATTTTTTACATTTGGAATACGGACCATTTTAAAAATATTTTGTTTGGAACAAAAATGATAGAAAAGAATATAAGAAGTAACTTTTATATAAACAATTTTCTTCTACAAACAAAAATAAGTAATATATTCTATAAAATATAAAAACGACCCTCTATAAAATACCCACAGTTGTTGCGACTCTGCACAAAATCTAATCAGTTCACCTCAGGCCGGAATAAAGTTTAAGTTTAAATTTTAATGTGTTTTTCTTAATCCGTTTTTGAGTTTTCTTTAATATTCTAAATTTATACATTTTCTCAAATATCTCGAATACGGTCCATTTCAGAGAAATTATGTATGGGACAAAAATTATAGAGCATTATGTCACAAATAACTTTTATTTGAACAATTTTCATAAAAAATGTTTTTTTTACATTTTGTCAAATTTCTCGAATACGGACCATTTTAGGAAAATTTTGTATGGAATAAACATTATAGAAAATAATATAAGAAGTAACTTTTATTTAAAAAATGTTCTTCTCCAAACGTAAATACCAGATATATTTCATAAAATATAAAAATGACCCCTCTAAAGTACCCCCGAGATGTTCCGACTCTGCTCATAATCTAATCAGTTCACCACAGGCCAGAAAAAAGCTTAGGTAAAATTTGGTATTTTTCTTTGTATCCGTTCATGAGTTATAGTGGATACACACGCACAAACACGGATACACACACACACACACACACACACACACACACACACACACACACACACACACACACACACACACACACACACACACACACACACACACACACACACACACACACACACACACACACACACACACACACACACACACACACACACACACACACACACACACACACACATACACACACATGCGCGCGTACACACGACATCATCGCCAAAATACTCAAAACCGATTCAGGGAACCCCAAAACGTAAAAATCCGACGAAAACTCGATGTCGAAAAAATCATGATTCCTATACTTTCCTTATCTGTATACAGATAGGAAAGTAAAAAGGAAATGACAAAAATGGACAACTCAAATCTATAATTATTTTATTGTTGTCTCTAGCTGGACATAGGATGAAAAAAAAAATAAAAACATATCTCATCTTGATCTTCTTACAAATCAGAAATTCTTCATTAAGTGTTGGCCGTTTACAACATAACCCGTTTAGTAACCTTTTGTATAATATGTATGCCATGTTTCAGAAACATTTTCAGTGAAATATTTAACTAAAATATATCAGAAATATTTCAAAAACTTGTGCTTGAAATGTTACATGTTTGAAATATTTCTGAAACACTTCTGAAATAATGTGTGCTGTATGGGCAATAGAAACCATAGCAACTACTTTATTCAGGAGGTAATATAACAAGACCTCTTTTATAAGCGAATAAATTTATCAATTTTCCCGAAAATAGTTTTGTTTGAAACTTTGCATAATTTTTTATTTATTAATAGTACAATAATTAAAATGGCATGAATGGTGTAAAGTTGAAAAAATAGATTAGGTACCGTTTTAAATGTTCCATCCATAAGCCAATGCTTGCATTCAGAAAGAATTCGTATATTAGCATCAGTTGCAAAAATTATGAATCTACAGTTATCTTTATTACCAGAATCATATTGTAAAAATTTCTGCCCTTTTTCTGTAACTTTAAAATCTTCAGGTATATTTAATTCCATAATACTGGCAGGATTTTTTGGAAAATTGTCTGTCTTCTCTCTAATTCTTCTTATACTCCTCTTCATACTGGAAATTTTGGGTAAATGACAGCATGCCATGTGGCTTGAGCCAGCTGTTGCAGTACTTATTATCGAATGTTGTTTTAGCTTTATCTTTGATATTTTGAAGAATATCCCGTACCTCAACCATTTCTGGTCGTCCTGGATGATTATGGTAATTTTTTTTTGAGGAGTCTCTTCATTTTTACAAATTAAACGACCCTTGCAGCCATGTCTCCAATTTTCACACTTCCAATAAGTTGTTAATTCGATGGTTTTATCCTTTATATAAAAATATCCATCTAAATAGAACATATTTTTGCCTTTTTGTGAAAGTACAATTGACATTTTATTTGATTCTATCAAACACATCTTTAAAACCATGGAAATGAGAATTAGTTGTAAAAAAATAAAT